GCCGCCCTCACCCAGATGCGCGCCGTGTGCTTTCCCGTCTCTGCGGCCTCCCGAGGAAGTCCCTTCCCAGACCCCTTCCCTTCTCGATGCATACCTCTCCACATGAGGGTCCATCCTTCCCTTGCTGTGCCCGCGGGTCTCTCTCGCTCTCCCACACTGAAAAACATTCCTTTCCGTTTGGCTCTCTCCACCCGTGCCCCCTCTGACAGGCCGATCATTCAAGTCCTCCTTTTCTAAGCACGAAGCGTTCTCCCCCCCGCCAATTACACCTTCTCTACCATGAAAACTTTTTGTCTCGCACCTGGCCCCCTGGTCCAACACTGGATCCGGATTGTATCCGTTTTTGCCATGGGCTGGAACACCACCACGATCGGCTTCCCTGCTGCACACGCGGCCGTGGCCATTGCGACCTCCGCCCCCACGATGCATCACCGCCAGATGCCACGCAGGCCGCAGGGCTGCTCGCTTTAGCGTGCAACAGCTAAGGCTATGGATGTTGGTGGGAGAGGATTGGCAGGTTAGAGCGCGTCCTTTGTTCCTAGTGGAGGAGGTCAGAGGTGGAACAGGAGGAGCGCGGGCTTCGGAATAAACGGAATTGTCAAGGCAACCCGCTTGCGTCCCCTAGAATGCGCTCTAGTAGTTGTCGCAGGAGGCTTTCTGACCACGGATCGAGCTGAAAGTATCAGCGGATGCGCAACCCGAACAAATGCCCACCGGGCGCGATGCATGCACAGAGAACAGAGAGCCCAAGGAGGACTCGCTCCTCTTCACCAAGGAGGCTAAGTTAGTCACCCATCCAGTCGACTGGCTTCACGCCCTCACTGTCCTTTTGACACATTCATTCACGCACATAGATAGACTGGTCCATTGTCACATTGTTGCACCTGACCGACGCTGGAGGGTCGTCCTTGATGCAAATACCGGCCTAGCACCTCGACGCAATCGCCCCCTCACTCCGCCAGGCCCCACGAGGGGGCTATCACCATGGGAACGCCGGAGCATGATGGCATTATCATCCCTATTCGAGGTTCACAGCGTGCAGAATGCGTACATCTGCTGGCCGAAGATTTGCCTGATGTGAGTGACTCCGCGGAGTTCGACGCCATTCTCCAGATCTTACAGGCCGAGTTCGCCTTACCAGACGTGTGGGCGGATGTGGCCGAGGCCTACTACTGCAAGGGGCGACCTGACCTCTTCCGACAAGTGCTGCATTTGCTTCGGGATGGTTTGAAGGAAGCGGGGGTACAAGAGGAAATGGAGGGGAATACGGAGGCTCAGAAAAGGGAGTTTCGAAGAGGGCTTGTACGCGTCTACAATATGCTAGGTGCACTGGCGACACAGGAGGCGATCAAATTCAAGCGTGCGGAGGACGAAGAGCGGCGGATGGAAATGTGGGACGTAGCCAAGCACAATCTTGACGTTGCGGACACGGTGGTGCAATACGCCGAGCCTACGCTTCTGAATAAAGGTTGGATGGCCATGAATTTGAGCGCGGGGAGCACCTGGAAGCACGCCAAGTACCTGTTCAACAACGCCATCACCGAGGCGAACAATCGAGGCGGACAGAATCTGATGGCCATGCTCGGTCTCGCCATCCATGCTTTTCACGTGAACACGCCTGCCGAACTCAGGCGGGCGCGGAAGCTCTTGGGCGAGGTGATCCGCCGCCATCCCCAGTGCCCCGCGGAAGTGCGCGTGGGCTTCGGCCTCTGCTGCTACCGGCTGGGAGAGGTTGACCGAGCCAAGGCTGCCTTCAAGCGTGCGCTTGTCTTGAGTCGGGGCAATCGCTTCGCCATGCTGGCCTTGGCCCGGGCGGAGCTCGCCGACGCGGAGCCGGACGAGTACTTGGACACTCTGGATCGCGTTGTGAGGATGCAGACGGCCGCCTACGTGCAGGACGAGAAGGATCCCCTGGCCCTTGTCAGCCTGGCCACCTACTACCTTCACAAGTGGTTCCCGGTGGGGGCGCAAGCCGTGCGGGTGGTGGAGGGGAGCGAGAAGGTGGAGTTGGAGGCCGCCAGGGGGGCGGGGGATCGACCCCATCGCTTGGAGCGGGGCGACCTGATACGCATCGGGCCTGTCTTTACCTGCCGGGTGTTGGACGTGGTGGACGTAGGGGGGAAAGGGGCAGAGGGCAGGACAAGCTTGACTTTGGATCGCGCCTTCCACGGGCGGGGCCTGGCCCCCGAGGCCGTCCAGGAGGACGGGCATGCGCCCCACTTCCCGACCTTGTCGATCTACCGCAAGGATTTCAGGCAGGCCATGGCCCTGGTCGACCGCGCGCTTGCCCGCCCGGAAGACCTCGCGCCTGCGGAGTTACGGGCTGAGGCCATCTTTGTAAAGGCGCAAGTGGTTCATCAACTCGATGATTTCGAGTCCGCGCTGATCTACTACCGGGATGCCTGTGAGCTCTGCCCTTCTCTAGCCCCCGCCCAGTACGGCCACGCGCAAATGCTGGCAGCACAGAGCCGCACCCTGGCGCTGAAAGACAGGAAGGAGGAGGCTGTGGCCCGCCTCGGGGAGGCGGTGGCGGCCCTGAACCGCGTCCTCGACATGGTGCCCCACGACCCAGACACGCTCACTCTGCTGGGCCTGCTGCTTGCCGAGCAGCACCAGCTCGCCGCCGATAAGCACGAGGCCCTCGACAAGCTGCGGCGGGCTGTGGAATTGCGCCCGGACGTGAAGGAGACGTGGGTGGCGCTTGGTCAGGTGCATCAACGGGCCCCCGGTGCCGACCCCAAGGAGGCTCTCCGCTGCTTGTTGGAGGCGGAACGGCTGATCCTCCAGCGACAGGAGGTCGTCCCTGCCCCTTTGTTGAGCAACGTGGGCGCCCTCCTCCACGTGAAGGGAGAACAAGGCGGGGCCCGCGAGTACTACCGACGGGCGCTGGAGGCCTACGCTAGCACTGGGGGCTCCGGTTTGGGGGAGCTGGAGGCGCAATATTTGCCCTCGGAGCAGCCCATTCAGCACCCGAGGAACGCGGTCTTCTGGCGCTGGGAAGACGTGCCGGGCATGACCGTGCGGCTGGAAGAAGGTTCAAGGGCGGCGGCTGTGGTGGGGAGCGGCCCCGAGGGACTGACGGGCCTGCAGCCTGGCGACCACGTTCGATTCGCGCTGGGACCGGGCCCGCGGGAGGCATTTGTTTCGGTGGTGGTAGATGAGAAGGCGGAGGACGATATGATGGGCGGGGCCAGCGGGGATCTGTGTCTGAAGCACACCTTCTTCCTTGCCACCCCGCCCGACCCGGTGCCCGTGGCTGTCAAGCGGAGTCGGGGGCTGCTGCGGCATGAGACCCTGACCACCGTGTTCAACCTGGCCATGATCCACCAGGACATGGGCGAGTTGGCGGCGGCCGAGGAGCTGCTTCTGGCCATCACGAAGCAGTACCCCTCCCACGTGTCCGCGCACATCAAGTTGGGGATCCTTGCGCACGGGCAAGGTCACACGAAACAGGCGGGCTCCTGGCTCGGGCGGGCCCGGCAGCTGGCGCCTCAGGACAAGGAGGTGGCGGCGGTGTGTGGTAAGGTCGAGCAGGACGCGGGCCATCGCGACCAGGCCCAACGCTTGTTTGAGCCGTTGAACAAGGAGGGCGACCCCTACGCCATGGTGGCGCTGGGGAATCTGTATTTCATGAACTCGGTCACTGTGCCAGACAAGGCACACCACATGGGCCATGCCCGCGTCTACCACACCAAGGTGCTTAAGAAGGACGCACGGAACCTGTACGCGGCCCACGGCCTGGGCTTGGTCCTGGCGGAGGAGTTTGGAAAAGTGGAAGACGCGCGCGCAGTGCTGCAGGCGGTGAGGGAGCGTTCCGGGGACAAACCGGACGAGATTTTGATCAACATTGCTCACCTGTTCGTGGCACAGAAACAACGCAACGCAGCGATCCATTGCTACGAATCCTTCCTGAAGAAGCACCGGTTGTCGACCGACGGGTTGCATGTCCGAGTCCTGGAATACGTAAGCCACGCGCACTTTCTGGAACGATCTTGGGAGAAAGCTCTCCGGGCGATCCTCAAGGCCCTCCACGTGGAACCGGGCAAGCCTGCGCTTGCTTTCAACGTGGGTTTGATCCTGGATGCCTCGGTTTCGGAGTCCTTCAAACGAAGCAACGCGCAGCGGACGACGTCTGTCAGCGAGTCCCGATCGGCCGAGCGAGACTTGTCTGTCGCGATCAGCGTCCTCTCCCGCCCGGAACTCGCGCAGGCTTACCCCAAGGTGAAACGGAAGGTTGATTACATGAAGGCCAATCTACAACTTGCCCGCCAATACGTCCAAGCGGAGGAGAAACGCTTCCGTGAGGACGAGGAGTCCAGGACACGGCAGGCGGCCCTGGTGGCGGCGGAGATGCGGAGGCGGGAGGAGGTCAAAAGGGCCGAGGAGGAGGAGAGGGAGCGGGAAAAGGCGGCGGCGCGACAAGCTGCCTTGGAGAGGGACGAAGAACTGCGACGTTTGACTCTGCAGTGGGCACAGGAGCCAAGGGAGGCACCCCGAGTGAGCAAGAAAGAGCTGGCACGCAAGGCGGGGGAGATTCTGTCGGATGGGGAGGAGGAGGGGGAGGGGGCCGAGTTCGCGGAGCCAGAAATGCAGGGTTTGGGCCCGGGCAGACAGGTCAGGCTGGCGAGTAGTAGCGAGGAGAGTAGCAACGACAGTTCCGACGATGAGGACTATGGGATGCGGGGCGTCGAACCCGGCCAGGGCCAAGGAGGAGGTGAGGAGGCGGGCGGGAAGGGGGTGCTTGGGCCGGAGGGGAAGGGGGAAGGTGGGAAGGGAGAGGGGGGCGGGCAGGAGACGGGGGAGGCTCGCAAACGGAAGGGAGAGGGAGAGGGGCCCCTCAGTCCGAAGAAGCGGCGTGTGCAACGGACACGGGCGAGTGAGGACTCGGGGTCGGACGAGGACGAGGAGCTCTTTGGAGGTAGGGAGAGCGCCCCCTCGATGCCGACCACCCAAGTCCTTCCCCCACTCTTGTCGCCCGCGGGAGATGCTGCCAGCTCGCCGGCGGTCCCTGCTGGAGCGACTCTTGCGGAGGCGGAGGCCGCGCCCCTCCCCCCTGCGGGGAGTGTGCCGAGTGGGGCCAGCGAGGCCTCGCCGGCGGCCCGTTCCTCGGGCCGTCGAAGGGTCATGGCGGACGAAGAGGAGGAGGAGGAGTCTGCCTGAGTGTCTGAGGGGGGTCCGATGGTGGAGCCCGAGAGAGATGAACGTAAATTGGAAAGAAATAACGATCTGAAGACCGACGTGGAGGCGCGCGGCCTGCGCCCACCCTCCAAAGACAGGTGCCTCCGGCGAGGTCAGCTTCGGGGCTTTTTCATTTCGACAGCAAGTTTGTACATGTCCGACTTTGCGAGCCCGGCCTCCTTCCCCAGGGTCTTGCTGGCCGCCTTGGCCGCCTCGGACGCGGACATGCCGTCCTCCTCCAGGCAGGCCCTAAGCATCGCCTGCACGGCGATGCTCACTTCTTCCTGGGAGCGCGCCACCCGAGGCCGAGGCCCCAGCACCAAGGTGAACTCCCCCCGGAGAGGTGCGAAAGCGCCCGCCTCCACGGATACCCCTTGCTCTTCCTTGCCTCCGAAATGGGCCAAGGCCTCCGTCAGGGTGCCACGGTAGAGGTCTTCGTGGAGCTTGGTCAGCTCGCGGGCGACTAGGACCAGGCGCCCACCCCCCGTCTCGTCCGCCTCCCTCAATTCCGTCAATGTCCGGAGGATGCGGTTCGGTGATTCGTACAGGATGCAAGGCCGTTCCTCCCTTGCCGCTTTGGCCACTTCTGCTTGACGAACTTTCCCGCTTCTCGAGGGGAGAAAGCCGATGAATGTGAACTCAGTGGAGGGGAAGCCCGCAACACTTATCGCCGCCACAGCCGCACAAGCCCCCGGGACGGGGACAAGAGGAACGCCTGCAGTCCAACAGGCAGCCGCTAGCTCACTTCCTGGGTCGGAGACCCCTGGAGTCCCCGCGTCAGAAACCACGGCGATGGAAAGCCTCTCCTCTTGAGCCCGCCTGATCAGGTCGGGCACGCGGCTTTGTATGTTATGTTGATGGTGGCTTACTTGAGGCTTCTTTCCCAAACCAAGCGCTTTGAGCAAGAGCCCTGTGGTCCGTGTGTCTTCAGAAGCAATCAAATCAACACCTCGCAGCACGTCGAGTGCCCGCAAGGTTATGTCTCCTAGGTTGCCCAGCGGAGTGGATACAAAATATATGGTTCCTGGCATGATTTTATTTGGAACTCGTCGAGGCATATCTTCTTCGGTGTGATCGGTCGAGCTCGTACAATATCGAGAGGTGCTGGTGCAAGGAGCTCCTGCTCCGACACCATAGCTTTTTCTTGACAAGACTGCCCGCACGTGGGGCAACACCCTTCTGGGCGAAACAAAGGCACGGAGCCGATGGTTACGAACCGTTGAAGCAATGTTTGCCACCTTTATACAACCTTCTACGTGATCAGTAGTGGTGCAGTGGGCGGCGAGGAGAAGGAGAATAGAAAGAAAGGGAAGGGAAGGTTTTTTCCTCATACAGGTAATGGCCCTGTAAGATGGATGTGGAAGTGCCAAAAGGACACACGACTGAAAAATCTTACCACAATATCTCACTTTGCTTGATGATATCATGTACTTCGTATCGATTCATCGCATGATTGCCTTGGTTTGTTACCATGACCTTGCCAGACCTCTGAACATCGCCTCGCCATGTCCAAGTTGCTCTGTCGACGTGGACGGATCGGAACGAGTAGCGCTGGCACAAGGCGCCTGGACACAGGCCGGACGCAACAAAGGAGATGAAAACCCACCAAAAAAAATCAACAACCATCGAGAAAGAGGTTACAAGCTTCGTTATTGGTTTTGTTATATCGAAGAACGGTGGCAAGCAAGCCTGTTACAAATATATAGGCACTCCTCTCTTGCTAGTCTATAAGTCGTCCGCAGTTCCCAGCCTGAATCCTTTCATATCGTCAACTTTGGGTTCCTACGAATCACCTCGTGCAAGACAAATCGCTTTCTCTTGCTCAACGGCCGCGAGGGCTTGATACGCACCGTGTCACCCATCCCACACTCATTCTCCTCGTCATGAGCCATGATTTTTTTAATTGCCTTCTTCCGTACCATATACGGCAAATAAAGTTTGAGCCGTGACACCTGCATAAAGACGGGTTGTAGCACAAAGGAAAAGAATCATAAGCCAAGTTTGAGCGCGATGGGTACAGTAGCTATCAGGTCTTCTCAACTCAACTCCCAAGTCCTTTCTCCGCCACCCATGGCCTGCTCCTTTTCCTCCGACGTTCTCCCTTACCTTGACAACTATCGACTTATCCATCTTGTCCGAGATAACCACACCCACCAAGGAGTTACGGGGAGGCTTGGGATTTTCCAGCACTTCATCTTCCCCTTGAATACTTTCTGCAGGGACGTCGAGATCGGCGGCAGGGCTCTCTCGGGGGGTGGAAAACCCTCTTGAGAAGGCCATCAAGGGACTGCCATGGTGATGGTGATGTCGCAATGAAGCTCGATTACAATCGGGAAAAACGAGGGAACTGCTTCCGTCAAAGGTGGACACGAAGGCGGCGAGGCTTCTGCTGGTGCAAGTGAGGGTGCGGCATGGAGGAAAGCTAATAGCATCAGGCTTTGTTGTAAATTTGACCGCATTGCCGACCCAACGACGGAGGCCTAGGCCCGCGTGTCCAAGCATGGTAAATGCCTGTGATGTATAACAATTTGTTTGATGGAGAAATGTTCATTTAATCAAGCAGAGCCTGTGTCCATGACCAGCCTCCCCCCTCGCCATCCCTGAGCAAGGCCAATTATCGCCCAGTCGCCCCCTTGATATGTTTAATAATCCCTCTCCCACATGCTTTTTAGAGAAAAACGTCACTCTTATTTTCCCTTTCTCCTCCGATCATGAAGCCCATCACATGCATAAGCCACCAAGATATTGCCCGCATGTCCGCGCCGCATTTTCTGCTTTTGTATTGCTCCTATTTCTCAGTCCCTTGATCTCTGCCTACAAGCCTTCAACCGGAACAAAAGCTACAATAGACCCTGCTACAAGAGCACCGTCCAGAAATAGGGCGACCCCAACCACGCCCGTCCGAAACAGCAAACCCAACCCACTGGCAACACTTTTTGAAGTATACACTCGCGGCAGTGGTGACAATGCGGGCGTCGCTTCCGATAGTCCTGAGGAGATCCGCCTGCGGAAAGAGAGGCAATACACGCTGATCACAGGGCTCCCACTGAAGCCTTATTTTGAAAGGCGCACCGTCCGAAGACAAATCGCCAAGGATATTTGGACCTTTGAGCAGCCCCAAGGTTTCTTCAACGTGACCACTCCTATCCGCATGACGGTAATCCGGCTTTCCGATGGTCGGCTGTGGGTGCACGCACCCGTCGCTGCAACAGCCGAGTGTCGGCGGCTCGTGGACGAGCTTGGCGGTCAAGTTGCCTATATTGTCCTACCTACCACTGCCTTTGAGCACAAAGTCTTTGTGGGCGGGTTTGCGCGGGCATACCCTGCGGCCAAAGTGTACGCGTGTCCAGGACAGTGGTCATGGCCGATCAACCTTCCCCCTCCTTTCCGCGTCGACGCCTACCTGACAGACCCTCGAGCCAGCAGCGACGGGAACAAGGGTAAAGGCGGCGGAACGGCCCAGACCCCCTGGGCAAATGAGATCGAGCACATGGTGTTCGAACCGCCCTGCATCGGGATCGGCCCCGCCAACGAGGTCGTCTTCCTCCACAAGGCTTCACGGACCCTGCTGGTCACGGACCTGGTCGTCTATATCGACGGAGACTCCCCGTCCCCCGTGGTGGAGGTGCCCGACCTCCTCAAAGCCTCCTGGGATGACCCGGACGCGGTCCCCCCCGGCGCCCCGCTTCCCCCTGACACCCCGGCGAACCGGCGCAAAGGCTGGGCGCGCATGGCCCTCCAGATCCTCTTCCTCGGGCCCACGCGGTTCTCCACCTTCAAGCTTGTTCAGCGTCGCCTGCTGGTCTCCCCAGTGATCGAAACCTTCGTCTACTCCAAAATTCCAGACGCGTTGGTGGACTTTGTGGATCGGATCGCGACGACCTGGGACTTCACCACTGTCCTGCCCGCCCACTTCAACGCCCCGGCCCCCGGCTCCCCCACCGCCCTCCAGGACGCCTTCGCCTTTGCTTACAGACTCACGGGGCGGAGGCCGTCTCCGGCACGACGAATGGCGGGGGGAACGGAGGGAAGAGGCTCGAACCCGTTCCTGGCGCTTTGGGACAGAGTGATGGAGGGGGCCCGTGAAGCGAAGAGGACGGAAGAATACCCGGAGGATGACACGGCTGTGCTACGGTTCGTGAACGGCTTCATTTTGAAAGCAGGCATCGCGAATAAGTAGAGCCGCGTCATCGACGGGCGAGGGAGGAATTCAGATCGTACAGGTGTCTTGAAATAAGATAAGAAAAGAGAGAATCGCCGAGCGAGATACATTGTTTCTCTGTCACCAAAACTTAGTGTGTTCTTTTTCCAAATGGAGGCGACTGTACACCCTCTCAATTTCTCTTCTTCATTTGACACTTTTCGATCTTCTCGTCCTAAACCTCCCTCAGATCGTAAGTATCTGAGAGGGAGGGAGGCACTAACCGCTTCGACACACGGGTGTGCCATGCACTCCGTGGTCGTCGCAAGGCCTCTCAGCACCTTCGTGGCCCTCAAAATCCCTACGACCGGGTCCATCATGTGCATCCCTTGGGGCCCCTGTGCGCCACCCTACCTCCACAGCCCCGCTCCCCCCGCCTGCCCTACAAACTCTGTGTCCCCAGTGCCACATCCGCGCCGGCCACGCCCTCCTAGCGGCATTCCACGTACTTGCAACAGCTCGGCCTCGTCCCTCAGAACCCCCCCGCCCTCCATCTCCATCCCTCACTCTTGTACCCTCCCTCCGCGCCCTCACCCCTATACCTCCGCCCTTTGCCTGTCGGGCATGCCGACCCCAGTGCCCGGCCCCGGAGTTCCCTTCTCGGGCTCCGCTTGCTCCGGCTGCTGGGGCGTGGCAAGCGCCGTTTGCTGCCCTTGCTCTTGCGTGGCCTGCCCCTCCGAAGACGAAGCCTGCCGGTCCGCCTCCGGGTGGGCTGGCGGCGACCCGAGGGAGGGGGGAACCGCCGTTTTTCCTTCTTGCTCCGCTAGCCGCACTGCTCCCTCTTCTGAGTGCGCGCTCTCTGCTGGTGCTTGCTGCGGCGCTGGTTCCGGGGCGGGTGGCGGCGCGTCCTCCGACCTCGGCAGAGTTGGCGGCAGCTGAGAAGTCAAAGCGGACCCCCCCGCCCCCGACCCTGCCGTCGGCCCCGCCGCCACTCCCACCTGCTCGCCCTCTGCGACTGCGCCTCCCTCAACGCCACCGCCTGCACTCCCCACACCTCCTCCGTCCTCACTCACTCCTCCTCCGCCCCCTCCCGCCCCGCCGCCGCTCGCGAGCAGCTTTCGGCGCTCCAGGATGGCGATTGAGGGACAGGGGACCTCGGGCTCTCCCCTCTCGGATGCTGCCTTGCGCGCTTTGTGCCAGCGTTGGTAACATCCGTTGCACAAAGACCTGCACAGAATCGGGCGCAGCTCGCAGACGACACACAAGTCCGGCTGGCGTTTGGGCGGCGGCTTCTTCAAGGCCCGGCCGGTCCTTGTCATGTCAATGGGAGGGCCCGGGCCCCGACGCTTCGACATGGAGCGCCGACCTCCGTACACGCTGCCGTCTTCCTCCATGGTCGAGCCATCGCCATCCATCCCGCCGCCTGTGCCGTACGAGTCGGCGGCCTCACTCGAGTCGTCGATGGCAGGAGGAGGGGCACTCTCCTGATACCCCTTTCCGGGCACCACCAGGTCCGCGCCCCCGTGTCGTACTGTCGCCCGGCGCCAGCGTTGATAACAGCTGCGACAGAGGTTCCTGCAGTATATTTCTCCGTGCGTGCATCCCGTGGCTGGCGTGATCGTTGGCAGCCCGTCTTCGCCACATTTGCTTGTCTTTTGTTTCTTCGTCGCCGACCCACTACCCCCACCGCTGCTACCCCCCGTACTTAAGCGCGTGCTGTATCCGCCACTGTGACCCCCTCCTGCAAGTTGACGTCCACTTTTATTGGCGCCAATCACCTCAGCACTTTGATATTGATCACATGCTGTGCTTCCCGCCAGGGCGCGTTCCAAGACAGCAAAACCCGTTGGCATGCTTTTCTGCGCCTCCGCAAGGCAATGCATTGCACGGAGCTGGGATTGGAACAGCTCGTTATGCATGTGCATTAGTTGAGATTCCACATTGAGAGCAGCATAGGCTTGGTGGTACCCATGGTGGTAGGGTGCTGGAGCTGTGGCGTGATGGAAGGGGTCTGGTGCAACCTGAACCCCGTTGGGTACCGCCATTTTCAGAGATTCCTGTGCCGGTACAAAGTAAATAGTAGGTAAATTAATCTATCAAACTCATTTCAAAAAGCCATGGTTGAGACTCCCCCAAGATGGAGTCACATTGAACGCTTTCGGCTTGTATCCTCGACTCTTGTAGAGTGCATGAGCCTCGTGATGACAAGCTGATGACGCGGGTCTATGATGAAAGAGAGACCCAAGACATTAACCGGGGGTGACCGTTTAGGGGCCCATGTCGATGCACCAAGTATGTGGCTTCCATGAGAATCGCGTAGGCTCATATTTGTGAGTGAGGTTACGAAAAGGTACCATCTCATAAAGGGTTTGCAGCAAGCGGTTTCAAATCGTCCTGCTGTCCGTTTGGGCCTGTAGTGGGTCGGTATTGAGAAAGCGGTAAACCTCCCCTATGTAGTACGCATTACCCCGCTTTTTGCCAAAAAGCCCAAGCGTGAAAATCATAGAGCTCATACTAACGTACATTCTTGATTTATTTGAACAAATCTAGGGGTTGGTTCCTATGGAAACTCCGATTCAGCATGCGAGGCAATCATGTACCATCGCAAACCTTGTATCCAGCATTTTGGCACTTTTCTCATCAACTCTACTCTACCAAGGTTTCCGAATAGAGGGGAATCGATTGGTTTCCCTTCAAAGACCTGTCATTATGACTTATCGACCGGCCAAGGTTGTATCTATGAGTGTTTTTCCAGCCATGTCCTTAGGCTGGATTGCTTTGGCAATATATTTTGCCCAACCACAATTGAAAGGATTCCAGGGCAGAGAGATAGACCATGCTACATTCTCAGTCATGCAGCGTCAATGTGGTATAATTGTCCACAGAGTCAATATTGCACGCATGCTTTGTAGCGTATTTTCTGTTTTATTTTTGTGGCGACTGTCCATTTTTTTCCACGAGCTAGGAAAGTCGACCATAGCGGCGGATGGCTCCCGGGAGGAAGTAGAGAAGTGGTTTACATACACAAAATTAATGACAGGCATGGGATTATCAGCGGCGCTATTGAACACCTATCTATATCATCGACTGGTGCTATCCCATAGACGTCTTAAGCAAGCGCTCCGCTTGCGCTTCCGTCGATCAATGTGATCCCCGCGATATCGATTTCATGAAAAAACTAAAAAATGAAGAGCTAGAAGAAATTAGTCATAGGTGATTTTTTCTGATTCTATACGCACACTCCATGATGATGGTTCTAGGGAGATTTCTCAAATCAATCGAGTGTTCTTCTGAAAATAAAATGATCGATCGGGCGTTCGGGCGACGGGCAAGGCATGCCCAAACAAGCGAATATCGCTGGCAAAATTTTGTCGCATTTGTCATTCTTGATTACCACATGAAAGAATTACAAGTTTACCTAGTTTAATGAAATCGTCGTGTCATTCATTGACGATTTTCCCGACACATTTCAGGAGGCTTTTGACCTCGGGCGCCCTTTTTCTTTCTCGACGCGCCATGTCCTCTGACCCTGTACCAGCGATTTCTCCGCTGCCCTCGCACCTTTCTTCCTGTGCCTCGAGCCCCCACATGCATACATCAGGGCCTCTGTGCTCTCCCCTCCCCCTCCCAGCCGTTCAGGAGAATCGCCATCGCATCGTATGTCTCCCACGCTCGGCCAAAACCGGGCCTGTCCAATCAGTCTTCAGCTTCCCATGACGTCCTCACTACCGCTCCTCCGCTTTTGACTCCCTGCCCCCGACCTTTTTCTCGTACCCCACGCGTCTCCTCATGTGCGGTGCATTCCGCTCAAACACTCGCCGTGCTTTGCCCTCCCCCTTTTCTTTCGCTCGCTTCCTCCCCACTCCCTCGCAAACGCCTTTTTTCTCCTGCACTTTACAACCTCGCCAAACCCCCTCCATTCCCCCATCTCTCCTTTACAGATATCCCCCTCCGTTCGCCCCCCCCCCCGGGGCCAGGAGGCGGATACGGGGGCATGTAGGGATACTGCTGGGGTTGATGTTGGAAGTGCATAGGGTGGAAACCTTGTTGTGGTTGTTGTTGGTGTTGTTGTGGCTGCTGCTGCTGCTGTTGCTGGCGTTGTTGCTGATACTGCTGGTGATGGTAGGGGTCGCCCCACGTGCTTGAGACCGACGGCACCGGCCCCTGCTGCTCCTGCATCAGGAAGGCTTGAGTGCTGGTGTATTGGACCCGAGAGGGCAGGGAGGACGCCATCCCCGTCTCGGACCCTCCCCCCTCCGAGCCCATCAACCCTCCCTCCCCCCTGCCTCCCCGCATCGCGTCGCCCATGGCCCCGTTCAAGCTCCTCAGCCCCGCCAAAGCGCCCCCTTCCCCCAGTCCTATCCCCGCCGCCCCCATCGACCCTGGGTACACAGCGCGGTCGGGCAGTGGCGGGGCACCGGACCTCTCCCACTCGCCCCCCATCCCTCCGCGCTTCTCTTCCAAGCCGCGCATCATGCTTCCAGCCCCCACCTCCACCCCCTCTCTCTCCCCTCCCCTCCCCCTACCCGCCCCAGACATGCCCGTGCGGGCCATAAAGTCGAAGTGCGATTGCGGCATGCCCCCCAACCGGCCCCCTCCGCCGTAGGCCCCGAACCCTGGCAAGGAGGACCATGAGCCTCCCCCTTTCCCCCCTCCACCCCCACCTTCTGTCCCTGAACCCTTCCCTTCCGAACCCTCTTTTCCTTTCGTTGTTTCCGATTTGGGCCCTCCGGACTGCCGACCGGTCGCATGCGCCTTCCGCCCGCGCTTTGCCCCCCTCCCTGCCCCCCGCCCTGCCCCCCG